GGGGCCTGGGGCCACCTGCCAAGCAGCTGCTAATGACACTCTGAAGATGGCAAAAGCTGGAGGGCAGCCCTCTGCCGTGCAATTTCACCGGCTTCTCCCAGGCAGAGTGGGGAGCTGGCCTGGCTTTTTAGTTTTGGGAACTTCTGTTGCAATGGGAAAGGAAGGGAATAGAGAATTTTGGAGGCTGCCTGGGCAGCTAGGACTAAAGTCATACAGTTTAGAGCTAGGAGTTAATACATCATTATTTCCTCCTTTCAAAAACGAAGTCTGGGCACACACAGGTGCTCATTTATTTGCATGTTTAAACTGGGCAGCATGAGACTAAGAGCAAGGGATGGTCAGACCGACCTGAGGTCCTGTCTAAGCTCTGCTGCCTGCTGTGTGACCTCAAGCAGGTTTCTCAGCCTCCCTGGGCACCCCTTTTCTCATCTACAAAGGCCTTTGTCGGAGAGTTAATTTGAAGATTATAAAAAATTGTGTGTCTAAAGTACTGAGAGCTTTACTACATAGTAGTATGTAGTAAAGTTCTCAGGAAGTGGTCATGGTTTACGTTCTTAGTGTCTTCTTCCCAATATCCTTTCGTCTCCTGCTAAGGGAGAGGAGGCAGAGCAGGTACTGCAGAGCCCCAGGGGCAGCTCCTGGCACCTGCTTTTCCTGACTCTGCTGTAGGCTGGGCTCTGTGCCCACACAGTCCTATGCACTGGGGACCCCAGACGTGAGACTGCCTTTCTCTCCTCTGTATCCTGGTACCTCACAGTGCCTCGCACAGGGCAGACATTTACTAAATGTTTGTTGGATGGAAGGTGAATTTGACATGGTCCTTTAAAGTTCAAAGTCTAGCAGGGGAGACAGACTTATAAACAAAGAATTGAGAAAAATAAGACTCGATGCACAGAGGGCTTTGCAAACACAGAGGAATGAAGACTGCCTGAATGGAAGTCAGGAGTGGCTGTAAGGGGGCAGGTTTGGGCTCCACCTTAAAGTATGGGTGTGTGGGTGGAAGGGGTGCAGCTCAGGCAGAAGGAACAGCACGCCTGGAGGTTGAGATTCACGAGGCAGCATGGGAACTGGAAATATATCAGCAGGGTCGGGGCTGAAGCACAGAGAACGTTTCAGGAGTCTCAGGGTAGGAGGCCAGAAGGTGACGTGGCTTGTGAAGAGCTTTGACAGCTCTACCCAGGACAGTGGGTTTAATCCTTTAAGGGTTTGAGCAGTCGTGGATCACAGTTTGCTTCCTCTTTTCTCCTTGCCCCTGTCCTTATGGCCCTGCACAGATGAGTTACCTGAGGATCAGAGAGGCTTGTGGCCTGCCTGAGAGCACACAGCACATTAGCTGTAGGGTCAGAATGAGAGCTCAGTGCCTTGGCTTCCACTAACTGTTGCTTTATAGAGTGGACTGTCCTTGTGGATGCTCCCCAGGACCATCAGGGCAGCCGTGGCCTCCAGCTCACACTACCCCACATTCTGCCTTGTCCATTCAGAGAGCCCTGTGCGATTGAGCCTGGCCCTCCCTCCCCCGCCCAGCTCTCTGGCACAAAGGAGAAGCCACAAGATCCGCTGGAATACCTTCCTGCTTCATTTCCAGGTGCCTGGCTGCCTGGCATGTGCCAGATTTGGCTTGAGGACTTGTTTTTCAAAAGAGATTGGGCAGGATTTGCAGAGCGTGATGGCATTATTCAGGATTTTTTTGAGGAAGCCAAGAACCCCTTCTGCCCTCACCTGCCCCTACCTCTTCTAGAGATCTAGTCCCCAGAGTTTGCCTTCAGGGCCAGTGTGCCTTGCAGCTAGGAGGTCTGCACAAACACATATGGAGTGAGCAATGGACCACATGGGAAGGGGTTGGGGACCTGGTACTTTCCAGAAAACGAGGAGGAGCAGTGGGGGCCTCACAGGGACTCAGGCTGAGCAAAAAGTCTCCTTATCTCCTCACCCCAGGGAAATTCCAGAGATAAGCCAGCTTGTTAAGTTATGGTTTCCAGTTGTTTTCCTGAGTCATATGCAGAAGCCAAGCCTTTTCAGGAGCCCCCTTCCCACAGCAGCCGCCCCTCCCTCCTGCCTCAGGGAGGTGGGGTGGGTGTTTGTGGGGAATCCAGACGGAGGAATGTGGCTTCTTCCTCAGGTTCCTGTGGCACCAGCTCCTCACCTGGGGAGCACCCCCAAAAGCTCACCCCACTTCTGGGGCTGGGCATCCTGTGGAGGGGCCTCCCCAGCCTGTGTTGCAGGCCCCCATTCCTCTGAATCCATCCCCATCAACCAGGACAGGAATGAGCCTCCATTTAACAGGTGGGAACGACAAGGCAGGGGAGGCAGTGCAGCGTGGGAGCCTCCGAGAAGAAGCGGCAACGGGCTCTTCTCACTTTCTGGAGGTGGGAAAGGAGAGAAGGAAGGACAGTGGCGTCCTGGGAAACTGCCGGGCCTCCCTGGCAGCTGAAGGCCACCCCCTTATAAGTGCTCCTTAATTCTGTCCTGGACAGGCTCTGGGGGGTGCAGCCTGTGTCTGTGCATCCCCGTGAGACTTAGATCAGCCGAGGGCCATGTGCCATGGTCCAGTCCCACTGGCTTGAGGAGACATCATCTCCTGGTACCTGCTCACCCATCCTTCCCCCCTCACTCACGCCTGCCTTCCTGCTTGCTCCCCCATCTTTCCTTTCTCCCTCCTCAGCCCTCCCTCCCCCTTCCGTTTCTCTCTTCTCCCCCCTCCCTCTTTATCCATTCCACTGTCCCTGCCTTCCCGCCCTTTCTTCCCCAGACGTTTACTGAGAAATCACTACATGCCAGATACCAGGAATATGAAGATGAATAAGGCATGGTCATTGCCCTCGAGGAACTGTGGGAGACAGATACATAAACAGATCATCGCAATATGGGACGATGTCGTGGCTCAGAAACACCTGTGCAGGAGAGGGAGCAATCACTCCTGTTGGGGTGGGAGTGGGGGATTGCTGGAGGAAGAGCAGTTCCTACCAGTTCCAAAAGGAGCCTGGCCTTGCTGGGACCTGCCCTCACTTATATTCACAAAGTCTGTGACCAGGAGCAATTCCCTTAACATCTCTGGATCTCAGTTTTCATATATATATATATATATATATATATTTTTATATTTTTTTTTTTTTTTTTTTAGAGTGTTTGAGGCTTACTACAGAATGAAAAGACACAAACAGAATCATGGGTTTGGCCTAGTAGGAGGCAATGTTAGCCAATTCTCATTGGAGAGGACGGTGAACAAGGATGCTGGGAATTTCAGAGGAAATGGTCCGTGAAGCTGGTGGGAGAGAAGCGGCTGCTCCTCTTCTTGCTCTGTGGAGGACCGTGGGCAGGCCCCGGGAAAGAAGAGGCTTCATTCAAAATTATAGTCGTGTTGTCTTCTTTTGTCTCTCCTCTTTCTTCCCACCGGAAGTATCAGCTGGGTTTGATGAAGCCCATGGTTGGTTCCAGAGAGAAACTGCTCAGATTGAGTACTTAACACATATGGTTACGAGCCCTGTTAACCAACTTCATTTCCCCCAACTATTGTAGTAGAACTCTCTGGACTCTACGATGGGACCCTGGGGGTACTGTTTCCTGACCTCAAGCCATTAGAAAATTAAATTGCTTGGCCTTGAGGTGAGTGCAGCTGAAGCACCCCTCTCACGAACAGGGCAACCTCCTCGGTGGCAGAAACTTTTTAGGTCTGGCTTCCCTTTCACATGTGAGAAGGTGGCGTCAGAGTGAAGCAGACAGTGTAGTATAGTGGGTAAAAGTCCACACTTGGGAGATAGAGCTCAAATCCTGGCTCCACTACTGATGAGCTGTGGGGCAAGTTAACCTCTCTGTGCTGTTTCCTCACTTGTGAGACGGGAGCGGTAATACCGACCCCATAGATTGTATTGAATTAAATGAGTTAATCTGGAAAGCACTTAGCGTAGTGCTCTCAGACGCTTGTACTCACCCTGCTCAGGCTCGCGTTCCTCAAATTACCTAAGCCTCTTTCCCTAAAGCTATGTGTACAAACACTCATGAAACCTATGAGACTTGGGAATCTGACTCTTAGCATGTATTGTCTTCGGAGAGACACTTCTTAGCTTTTCCCACAGCAATGGATTTCAGTCTTTCCCTCCACACTACAGAAAGATATTTACCATGTAAGCACGCACACACACACACACACGCACACGTATGTACAAATACAGAAATTACACTTTTATATAGCACTTGTGTCAAACACCTTTCCAAACGCTTTATGTATATTAACTAATGTAATCCTCACAGCAGCCTTATGAGGTGGGCACTGTCAGGGTCCTCATTTTAAAGATGAAGACCCTGAAGCATAGAAGGACAAGTGACTGAGTCAATACTCTAACACTGTGTGTGTGTGTTATGGGTTTGAAAAGTATCACAAAATAATGCTCTTACCAAGTGCACACTGATATTTTCTATTCTGTTCCATTGAATTTTAAAAGTGCTGACCTTGATTTACTCAGTTGACTCCACAACCTGCCGATGAGTTGAAAATTACATCATGAAAGCCACTGTCCTACAGAGTCCACTCAGAAAGAGAGGAGGGTAACGAGGGGAAACTTCTGAGGGGAAGGAGGACAAAGACGCGGCAGCTTCGCGTGGCCTTTTCCTAGAAGTGGTGGAGCTCTTGCTGGGAGCACTGGGGCTCTGAGACTGGGAAGGGACCTTGTGGCTCCCAGATGGGGGCTCTCAAGAGAATGTGCTCCGACCCTTGGAGGTGGCTGGAGCAGGGCTCAGGATGTTGCTCTTGTTATCTTATCCCTTCCCAGACGCAGATCAGGGAAAGGCATCCCAACCTGGAGCCCTTGCCCTGGAGCCCAGGATGCGGGCCTGATTGCTGAGGGCTTGAGGTGCCCGGGCCTCATCATGAGCCGACTGGTGTTCTACCAACAGTACCCTGTGTTTTACTTTTAGGTTTAACTTTTGAAACACTCTTATATTTATCAAGTTACTTTATGCTCACAAGAGCTAAATTGAGTGTAGGTTCCATTCCATTCCACAGGTGAAGGAAGAGAGTCAGGTTCAGCCTCTCTCTTGGCCTCAGGTTTGTTCAATGGTTCCGCCAGGGCTCAGGGAAGCCTAGAATGCAGGCTTCGGGCTTCCGGTTCCAGTGATTTCAGCTGCAGGTTATACGGTCGATGGTGTGATTGAGTGTCAATCATGGAGATGTTTAAGGAAGTGGATACACAGAGGCTGTTTCACCCATCTGGGGTTCATCACCTGGCTCCTCTGTGCTTCAGCCCCAGTTGCCCCCCGTGAAATATAGCAGAGCGCCCCCGCCCTTGGGTACCCTAGTGCGGAGGCCAGAGGCACGAGGAATAGGCCATGCTCAGCTTGCGTCTGCCCGTGGTGTCATTCTTATCAGGGTGAGTTTGATGTCTGTACTGACTTCCCCAGTGGGGGATGGCTTAAATCGCAGCCAGCCAGATAAAGGTTAACCCAAAGACTGGGAGGCTAGAGAAGGTGGAAGCCAGGGGAAGCTGTGACCTTTTAGAAGGGACCTCCGTCACTCTGGAGCAGGTCAGCAGAGCCACTGCCCTCTGGAGCAGGAGGAAGGACGAGATCAGCTCAGGAGGCCCTGCCCGCTCTGGGGAGCCCTGCCTCACAGGTCCGGTACTGGCATGAGGGACAAGGGACTGCTGGGGAGGTTGGGACCACTAGGCGGGCCCGCCAGGAACTTTTCTCCCAGGTCCCTATTCTGAGCGCCCTACAGCTGTCTTTCGGGGCAGCTGTCTCCTTGCTTGGGTTTCTGGCGGGGACTGCACTCTCACACCCACTCCCACACCCTGTGTCAGGAAAGCCAGGCTCTCACCCAGCCAGCGCCTCCCCTCCCCTCATCTGTCCCGGTGGTGCTTTCAGTAGTTTAAAAAGTTAGGAAAATGTTTTTCAGAGCTGTGGTTGCTCCTGAAGGAGCCCAGCTTCCTGTTGCTGGGAGTGAGCCTTCAAAGCTCATTTTATCTATCGATCAGTAAGAACACATTTATTGATCAGGAGACACTTGGTGCCTGGTGGGATCCACAGCCTGGCTGCCAACACTCCCCCCAGCTCTAGTTAGTTATGAGGGGTAAACGAGGTCATGAATATGGAGCAGTAGACACAATGGTGAAGACGATACATGTTAGTTCCTATCGTTATTCTTTCCTCCCAGGGTGACGCCTGACCTAGTCAAGGGGCCGGTCTGCCCCCACCTCTTTTCTGTGGCTCTCTTTCTGGGATGCCCGCCCTGGCTCTCTCAGGAGCTGTTGTCTCCATGCGGATGCCTCCCTGACCGTCTCCCGACTCTGCCTTCATACTGCCCTCATCACGGGCTGTCTTTGAGGGGAGGGCCGTTTGGTGGGTTTGGTTTGTCTGTGTCCAGTACTAGATTGGGCGTTCCTTGAGCACAGGGACCCCCTCTCATCTTAGTCTTTAGCACTGTGGGTGCACAGGATGTCCATGTCATGAATGGCCATATCTGCACGGGGGAGGGGGCTTCCTGTGGGCTGGGGGTGCTTGGCAGAGGCTTTCTGGAAACGGTGGCGTTGGGGCTCAGCCTTAAAGCAGTGTCCACCTGCCTCCCCTGGGAGATTTGGATTCAACAGGCAACCTGGGAATCAGTTTTTTAGAGAAATTCCTCAGGTTCTCAAACAATCAGTTTGGTTGAGATCCGTTACCTTAAAGGTTGGCTTGCTCTGGTGACTGGAGAGGACTGGGGCATCCTGGTGGGAGGTGGGGCGTGGCCCAAAGCAGAGATCCCTAAGGCTTTTGGGGGGAAATATTGGGACGTTCTGGCTGGATTAGAAATTTTTTACGTGGAGCAGTGGAATAGGACGTTTGAAAGGTGAACGGGGATGAACTGTGGTGAGCCTTAGATGCCAAGACAAGGTGTTAGGCCTTTAGGTAGCAGGCAGGGGAGGGGGCAGCCACTGGAAATTTCTGAGCCAGAGAGCAACATGATGAAAACAGGCATTAAACCATACCCTACAGGGAGGAAATTGGCTGTATTTTTAAAGCGCAAAGGCAGAGTCCTAAACGCCCTCTTGTCACTCACTCCAAGTGCTTCTTGGTGTCTAACCTAAATCTTCCTTGATGCAAAGTACAGTTTGTCTCCTAGGAGTTGGAAAAAACCTGGACAGAAAGAAAAGTCCTTCTCCCATTTCTGTCAGAAGAGAACCCGCATATCTTGGTGGAACAAGTATGTGCGCCGGGGTTCTGGGCCAAGCCGGCAGAGCCCCGGCGCACGGGAGGGCACTGCGGCCAGCATTAATATAGGTGCCCACCTCCAGGGGTGTGGGTTAGAGTCATCAGAGCCCCCATGGGATTAGAAGCCCTGGATTTGTCTCTTTGGTGCTGTTGTGCCTCCCCACCCCCAGTACCGGCATACGCACTGCCCCTTGGAAAAGCTTGCGGGCATCAAGACAGGCCCCTCTACCCTCCTGCTCCGTTGTGAAGGTAAGAGAGATGAGGCTGATAAAGGTCTCTCAGCCGGGAGAGAAAGGCATAGAAGAAGAACAAGGTATGATTCAGCGATGGGCACAGGAGAAGAGGTTGGGGGGTGTCTCACCCCTGCTTGTCGGGGTGCCCATCGGACACCTGAGAAGAGGCTCTGCTAGGAGGGAGGAAGCTGCGGTGTCTGCCCCCCTCCAGTCTCCAGCTTAAACCAACCCCAGGCTCAGGGGAGCGGGCTCGAGTTTGAGCCTGTCTTGTCCTCCGAGGGTCCTCCTCGGCTGTTGCCCTCGCCCCCTTCCTCCACCTGCCATCTGCAGCAGTATCTGGTGGAATCCCAGAGATGCCAATCTCTAAAAAAGAAAGCTTTTCCTGAACAGGGACTCCAACCCTTCCCCCTCCCCCCGGGCTTCCAGGGCAAGTGGAACATTCCATTTAAAGGGTGAAACAGGAACAGGTGAGCATACAGTGCAGAAAAGAGAGAGGACTCAGAGGCAGGTGAGAGGGGTGCAGCTGAGCCACTCACGCTGCCCACCTCCACCTCTGCCACCTTCCTACCCAACTGCTGGAGGGCCCCTTGCTTCCTGAGCCCAGACCCCAAAATAGGATATGGCTCTGGGACACCTAAAGAGGCCAGGTAGGCAGACACCCTCTCAGAAGGCCCTGTCCTTCGCACCTGGGGACCTGTACTTTCCCACCCACCTGGGGCTGCTGTGTCCCACAGTTCTGGGGGCACCATTCACACTGTGCTCCATGTGAATGGCACCCCCGAGCTGTGCCAAGGCCGGGAAGTCAGTGCCAGCAGATAAGGAGGAGGGCAGGATCAGACACTTTTCTGCTTCAGGCAAACAATAGGGACCTTCCAGGAAGCTCGGGGGAGGGAGTTGCCTGTAAGAGGATCCCCGCTGGATGTTCTGTGGGGTGACTTAAACAGGTTTTTGCATTTGCCACTGATTGCTTAATTAGACACCTACATAGTACTCTCTGCTAATGACCATGTCTCCCAGGGAGATGATAGATAAAGGGGTGGGTGGCTTCAGAGGCCAGGTGGAGGTCCCGAGGACAGCCACCTGAGAATGGGGGCGACGGAGGTAGAACCTCCTGGCATTTCCTTGGGCCAGTATGGACTATAGAGCATCAGAGAGAGTGGGTGCTTTCTCTCCAAGGACTGAGGAGAGATGCAGGGCTCGGGGCCTGTTTCTGTCTCCAGTCTTAACATCCTGTGCGGGCTCCAAACTCCTGGCTGTGGTTTGCCCTCTTGTGAAATGGGGAGGGTCATCCCCAGTGTCCAGGTAGTCACTGATGCCAGATGAGCCCAAGGTGCATGTTTCTGGAAGTAGGTGCTCTGAGGTGCAGAACAAACCGGTGTTTTTCCAGGCACCTGCACGTTAGGTTGGAAAGAGCTGGGTAGGGAGCTCTGACGATTGCCTGGAGGAGGGCATCACTCAGCGCTGTGAACTCCAAATGGACAATTAGGAACCATTCTGGGATCTGAAGCTGAGCTTTGATAATGGGCTAAGAGCTTAGCCGCAAATATTTCAGAGCTGCTCAGAGGGTGTGCTAGAGGCAAACTGATGCTGGTAATTATCTGCTGATGACTGGGGGACTGGCTGGATGTAAGTGTGATTCTTCTTACCTATCCTCAGCCCTCTCCAGCTCATCTTCCTAGAACTGTGGTTGTTGGGATGTGGGACAAAGAGGCCCCAGCCGTCTCCTGGGTGAGCCAGCCAAATATTTACCAAAAGCAGGGCTGCAGAGGAAAGGTGCCAGGATCCAGGTAAATGTTGTGTTTGTACTGCCCAAACAATGCCATGCTTCATGGGCTCCCGAATGCCACAGCTCCCTGAGCCAGGCCCCTGTGAAGACTGGCTGTAGGGAACCATGGGACTGTGCACTATGTGTGAGATAGAGAGATGCCATTCCCATTCTGCTCCTGGGTATCTCGGGGATGTTGGCATCCTGGCATTGGATTGTCTTTGGTCTCCTTTCCTCCATCCCAGGAAGGCCCGAGTGTCTCAGGAGGATGGAATCCGTTGAGGGACTGCAGGATGGATGGATGTTTCTGATGGTCATGATGGAAGTAATCATTTCTGCCCATTTCAAAGACAGGGTGGGGTTAGCAGAGATGATCTAGTGTCATGGAAACTTTGGACTGTAGGGTAGACTGAATTTTGAAGCTGGGCAGACCTAGCTTTGAATTTTGGCCTTACTGCTTACTAGCTGTGCGTCTTGGGGCCAGTTAACTAACTCCTCTAATCAGAGTTTGCTGTGGCCTAAAATGGGATTTCAGGACCCACATTGCCATGGGTGATTGTGATCATTCCTCCCATAATGAAATAAAGCAATCTATTCTACAGCATAACCCTGAATGCTTTCCTGTTGGGAAGCAGGGATTATATTCAATTTCATTCCATAAACATTTTTTAAATTTATTTTATTTTATGTATTTATTTTTGGCTGTGTTGGGCCTTCGTTGCTAGGCGCGGGCTTTCTCTAGTTGCGGCGAGCGGGGGCTACTCTTTGTTGCGGTGCGCGGGCTTCTCATTGCTGTGGCTTCTCTTGTGCAGTGTGGGCTCTAGGTGTGCAGGCTTCAGCAGTTGTGGCTCACAGGCTCTAGAGTGCAGGCTCAGTAGTTGTGGCACACGGGCTTAGTTGTTCCACGGCATGTGGGATCTTCCCGGACCAGGGCTCGAACCCGTGCCCCCTGCATTGGCAGGCGGATTCTTAACCACTGCACCACCAGGGAAGCCCCATAAACAGTTTCTGTGTTTTTTTTTTTTGCGGTACGCGGGCCTCTCACTGCTGTGGCCTCTCCCGTTGCGGAGCACAGGCTCCGACGCGCAGGCTCAGCGGCCATGGCTCACGGGCCCAGCCGCTCCGCGGCATGTGGGATCTTCCCGGACTGGGGCACGAACCCGTGTCCCCTGCATCGGCAGGCGGGCTCTCAACCACTGCGCCACCAGGGAAGCCCCCATAAACATTTTTCTTTTAATTTTTTTTAACATCTTTATTTGAGTATAATTGCTTTACAATGGTGTGTTAGTTTCTGCTTTACAACAAAATGAATCAGTTATATATATACATATGTTCCCATATCTCTTCCCTCTTGCGTCTCCCTCCCTCCCCCCCCCCCTATCCCACCCCTCCAGGCTGTCACAAAGCACCGAGCTGATCTCCCTGTGGGCTGCTTCCCACTAGCTATCTACCTTACGTTTGTTAGTGTATATATGTCCATGCCTCTCTCTCGCTTTGTCACACCTTACCCTTCCGCCTCCCCATATCCTCAAGTCCATTCTCTAGTAGGTCTGTGTCTTTATTCCTGTCTTACCCCTAGGTTCTTCATGACATTTTTTTTTCTTAAATTCCATATATATGTGTTAGCATATGGTATTTGTCTCTCTCTTTCTGACTTACTTCAGTCTGTATGACAGACTCTAGGTCTATCCACCTCATTACAAATAGCTCAATTTCGTTTCTTTTTATGGCTGAGTAATATTCCATTGTATATATGTGCCACATCTTCTTTATCCATTCATCCGATGATGGACACTTAGGTTGTTTCCATCTCCAGGGTATTGTAACTAGAGGTGCAATGAACATTTTGGTACGTGACTCTTTTTGAATTATGGTTTTCTCAGGGTATATGCCCAGTAGTGGGATAGCCCCCATAAACATTTTTGAGCAAATGGTATTTCCAGTTCCAAAGAGTCAATGATTTTATGTCTTTAAAAACCCTTTGAACATCTTGGAAGGAAGAAATATTCGAAAACTCTATTATATTTGGCAATTATCATTAGTTTTCTTTTTGTAACCCACTCAGGAAGTCTTTAACTGTTTAGTTCAGAACTGGAAACAATGGGTGGAGGCAGAAAGTGTGATGATGGCACCCTTCAATAGTGGGATAGGCCACCTTCAAAGTAGTGAGCGTCTTGCCCTTGCGGGAGTTCACGTGGCACCTTCATCTTCCCAAGTGTTGGAGAGAGCTTTTCCTGCATTGGGTGGGAGAGAAGACTGCTTTGTGCTGAGATTGCTTCTCCTAAATGTGGGAGGTTCTGATTCTGGGATCACCAAAATTCCCCAGTTGAGGACAGGGGGTTTCCCTACACTACAAGGCAAATGCATGAGAGATCAGAATTAGGGAGAATTTTCCCTGGAGCTTCCTGACTGCCTTCTCCAAAGCACAGCCCCTCTCATTTGGATCAAGCCTTGACTCTAACATCTTTCCTCTCCCTATATGTTCTTTACTACCATCAAAGGCTTGCGTGCACTCTTGCCTTGCCACATGTCCCAGAACCAGCTTCTATTCTGGGTGGGGCTTTTCCCTGTATTCCAAACCATCTCTAGCAGGATGGGAGATTAACAATCAAGCAACCATTTATGGCATTCCTACTAGGTGCAAGGCACTGGTGTAGGAGCTAAGGGGGACGGCAAGGAATTGTCCCAGTCCTTAAAAAGCTTCAGTCTCTCTTTTGGAAATAAGCTTTACACAAGTAAAAAGTCGGTTAAGGGTACAAGGCTGTATGAAACAACAGCTGAGTGGTAAAGACAATAGTAGGGGTGTGTGTGAGAGAAGTAGATAGCTAGTTCTGGGCTGAGGCACTTGGTGAACTGGGCCAATGGATTTTGGACACTGATTGGAGTGAGAGACAGGGGTGGGAGAGAGTCAAAGCTGATCTTGTAGTTATAAGCCTTGTTGCCTGGGACAGTTAATGTTGACGTTGACAGAAGTAAGGGAACTTAGATGGGGAGCCCATTAATAATTGACTGGTTTTTAACATGCATAGGTTACAGTATTCAAATGGTACAGAATAGTATTCAGTGAAAAGTTTCCCGCCTGCCCCCTCTCAGATTTAGCCTCAGCGCCCTCCTTGAAGGTGATCACTGTTACCATTGTCTGGTTTGTCCTTCCTGAGATGCTCTAAGGCAGTCTAGGCTATGACCCACGAGTCAAATCTGGCCCCCCACCTAATTTGAGTGTATGAGCCAGCAATTGTGTTTATGTTTAAAGGGCTAAAAAAAGAAGAAGAAGAAAGTGGTATGTGATGCATTAAAGTTGTATGAAATTTAAGTGTGTCCACAAGTACAGTTTTCTTGTGATACAGCTATGGTCATTTGTTTATGCTCATTTCTTTGCATATTCTCTGTGGCTGCTTTTGTGCTACAAAGGCGGAATTGAGTAGCTGCAACAGAGACAATAAGGCCCACGAAGCAGAAAATATTGATATTTACCATCTAACCCTTTACATAAAAATTTGCTGACCTCTGCTCTAGGCAAATATAGAGAGATAGTTACAAATCCTTTCTTAACCCAAATGGTAGCTTATGCAGTGAATTGCTCTGCCCCTCACTGTCTGCATTTACTATGTCTTGGAGACTGTGCCATATCAATACTATAGTAGAGCTAGTCAGTGGGTGGTGAATCTTAATTTGATTTTAGATATGTGAGTTTAAGGCCAAGAACAGTAACCCTTGGGGAAATGCTCAGTGTGTGGTTGGGCTCGGGGGACTGAAGCTTGGAGCCTGGAGGCGGAGTTGTGAGGGACATCTACAAGGAGGGCTTCGATGCGAATCTATGACCTTGGCCTGTAGATCAAGGATTTTCCTTTACAGAAATGAAGCGTTGCATTCTGAGCACTG